CACTCCCTGGGCGCCACACGTTATCCCGCATGGATTTGTTGACCTTCCTGGCATGCTAACAGCTTTCAAGAACATCTGTAGTCCCTGCTGTCCCAGATCTTTCCAAGGAGACCATTGCCTACATGCTGTACCATGTGGCGGGTAAGCAGCATGATGACCAGTGTCCAAGGCTGACCGCGCCAGAAGGCAAACAGAACAAGGTGCATACCTGCAATGCCTAAATCCCTAAACACGGATGGGTGTCTTGATGGCCGTGACGTATGCACTGGTGATGTACTTCTCGGCCTGGGCAAGTACAAGTAAGAGTGGACCGCAGTCGGGACTGTTCTGGACAGAGTGCATCTTTCCATGCCAACTTGTGCATGTCTGAGCAAAAGGTTGAGGAAACATCAAACCAGCAAGGGGAGAATGTCAAGACCCGCTGTTCAAGAACTGTAGCCGCTGTAGACGGCTAGCCTTGTCAAGGCAGCTTACAAGGTGACCAAACAGGCCGTCACCAGACAAGTCACGTGCATGGCTCTGTATTCGCGGCTCTGATCCAAGGGAAATTGCTGAATTCTTAGTGAAACACAAGAAGCCATAAACTAGGGTGCCCACGCCGCTGCCTGGCATCCAGTCCTTGATGAAGTCCTTGGAGACCGCCAGATCTTCTTACTATGGGTGTTGTAGCTCCTCGGAGGCTTCCTGAAAACCTAATGTTTAGGTAGCATTAATAAAAGGGCCGACAATAGCGTTTTTGTTGCCGGCCCGGGAAAATCCCGGACAATCAAATTTGCCTTCTAACAGGTTCGGAGCCCGAAAATATATAAACAAGTCCAAATCACAATACTAAAGGGGTGGCAATAATTTTTTTTGTCCGGCCGGAAACGTCCCGATTTTCATGGATTTTCTTCTACTTGTCCTACTAGTACTACTAGCTGCACTACCTGGGCCTCCCGTCATTTACTATTCCGACCGACCCCCCCCGCCCTTCCGTAAGCCCAAATCGCAAAACAAGTTCTGGGGGGGGGATTCTTTCTTGTCACCTAAACATTAAGCTTCCCTGGGGCCAGCTTCAGGGTCCCTTAAACGTCCAGGGCAAGGCAAGGTAGTTGCCAGGCGCCCGGCTGCGGCATTCTCTTTGACCACGATGCTAATGTCAGTGAACCTTCAGCTCGGCCCCGTTGCATCGCACGAGCACTTGTACACGAATCTGGGACTGGAGCTCTGAGCACTGCTGGGGTTCATCTTTTCTCGTACAAGGAGGAGTTGACACTGATGGGTGGGGGATTTTCGGGTGAACGTCTGACCAGCACCAACGAAGTCTACTTCGTATGCGCCTGCATCCTCTGATGGGACTGCCAAGGCATTGCTCTCCAAAAATGCTTAGCTCCCTTACTGCATTGGGGCTATATTGGGATGATGGAAAATGAAAATGGAAACTGCTATATTATATACGTTATAGTATAAGCGCACATAGCTGCACCAAGGTTTCAGCCCGGCATCAATCAGCATGTTTCGCCTCGGCCCCGCTGCCAAGGATTTTTGCGGTTCTGGCATTATTAAAGCAGTAGTATTACCATTAATATTATTACTACTATTGACTGTGTCCTGCCAGCACTAGCAGCTAGTTGGTGTCGAAACACGGGGTTTGAGAGCCCGACATCTCATCTTCAGCTGAAGCTCCTGCAACCTTCAGATAGTCGGGATGCACGACTTAGGAGACCTAACGCTTTGGAGGAGTTCAGGAAAAACCTGTGTCATGCGCTCTCTGCCTCCCTCCAATTGTTTAGCCCGATCAGCCCCGGACTGGAAGTGACGTCCAGCTAGCGCAGCTCGCATGACATGATACATGATGCAAGGCTTAAGCACAATCTGAGAGCAGCGCTCAGCAACTGTAGCTCTGAGCTGTCTGAAGCTCCTCCGGGATATCGCCCATGCCTCAGCGAGAACCCAAGTTCACTCAGAGAAACAACGCTCAGACCGTTGCTAAGCGCTTCTTTTGCGGTTCATGAACGGTTCATGATTCACACTTAGGCCGTGGCGCAGCACATCGGAGATCGACACGCGGCCACCTGGCACCAATACCTTCAGGCCAAACCAAGTGTCGCACCTTCATGATAAAAGTACGTAGCCATGCAATCAAAACATCATCAATTGCATTAACAGATGGGTATTGGCAGTGGGAGGAATGATGACAAACAGCCTTCGCAAGTGAAGAAAAGCCAGTATCAAGCAGAAAGCTGGAATATGAATCCTATGCATCACTTGCATGTCAGGGACATACGGCAATAACTCGGGCCCTTTTGGGAAACCTGTGCGGGGCAAGCCATGTGTTACTGACAAGACCCTGCATACCAACAACGTTCCCAAAGCCCTGATCACTCAACCTTCGAACTCAGCAAGCAGTATTTAAGCAGTGGCCTGCCTTCAAAAAAGAACATTCGTGAGCTCTGAGTCTGCACTTATATTTGACACAGCCAGAGTATGAGGTCTGCGGCTCCTTGCCTTGCACCTCAACAGTTCACAGTGTACAAACCCTCTACACCTTCTCTCCCATTAGCTTCGCATGAGATGACAAGCGCCTGCGAAAAGGTAACCCGCCGAAACAAAATCCATGGACGACGCATGCAGGAGCAATGGGTCAGAGCATGGCACAGCTACATATGATCTAATTCTGTGGTGCCTATAGACTTCATGCAAGAGTATGACTTAGGTTGTAGGTACACAACTGTTTTACGCCAGGAACCTGGACCCTAGTGGAAACATCCTGCCACCAACTGGGACTGCAGCCCGGTTCATTTCGCGGTAGACTTGTGGCCTCCAGTCTGTGTACCAAGGGAGGCTGGGTGTCTCTGTGGTGCTCCTCCCGAACTCCGTGCCTGCGGCCCTCGTCCCAGAACTTCGTTGCTATTCGTGCAAGCCGAGTTTCTCAATCAGAATGATATCCTACTATGGGATTTTGGAAGAGAATTCTAAGGGCTCATGGGCTCAAGCAAAGGACGCAAGAACACCGTGGCCCGTGCTTGTCCGGGGAGAGGTTGATAACCTTGCGCAGCAGGCCCCTTCATGCCCAAGCCACCAATGACATCGGGACAGCCGGGCCGAACCAGAAGCAAAAAGGGCAATATCCAGGTGAGCACCAAACAACATTTGAATTTGCTGGTGGCTTTGCCATCTCTTCTGCACCTCATGTGGGCATGCAAACAGTAAATTACAATAACAATAACAATAATAATCACAATACATTGAATAATACGAATCATAGTAACAATTATAGTACCAATAACAATAATAAGATGGGTCCTCTGTAGTAAGGATGCCAGCATCCCTCCAGTGCGGGTGGAAGCAGCGGAAGCTAGCAAGGCACTACTGCAGACATCTACACACTGGCGATGTGCTATAGACTACCCAACAACCCGTCTCACAGTGTCATGAGCCGTGGCTTCGGTTTCTCAACTATTGGGGTTAAAGATCCCCATATACCTTAATGCCCTAAACCCCAAACCTTCAAGGACCCGACCCATGGGATAAAAGAAGCATGCTTAGGAATACTGATCCGTTGGTACGGTGCGCAGCATTGTGCAAGCGTGATGCTTGAAATAATTCTGCCCCATAACCCGAATGCGGACGGCACAGAAGATCAAGTCTCTAAACATTCTGCTTTGGGAGCCCTGATGTTGAGGAATCCGTCCAATTGTGAGAGAGAACCCGAGCCCTTTGGGGACTCAAGGCAAAGAGGGAATGTCCTGTCCGAGGACCCGACACAATTGGAGATGAGGCAATTTACCACTCCATCACCTCCCAGAAGGCTCTTGGACCGCAGCAGAATTTAGGGTTTAGGCTTGAGGGTGTGTACAACTGAATTCATTGTTGAACATGGGGAGGTGGGATGTTGTTATGTCAGCCCAAACTCCGCAGTGAAATTCGGACATTCACTCGCCAATCCCTTCTTGCGGCCTACAGGGAGGTGCTCGATCTCACCCAGGCGGAAAGTCCTTGGTATGACATCTTGGCCATCCATGCTGGCGAGGGAAAGCATCGCAATGCATCGCAGCAGGCACCGACTCCTGAGGGGATACGGTTGATACTTAAACTTAAAACCCTGTATGGCCCTAAGTACCCTATACCCTGAACATGTTTGCATGGTAGTAAGGTCATGAGGACTTCTTTGATATCAACAATCGTACCGCAACTTTCTGGAATCTGAGCCTGTAAAGTCCTCTTGCTTTTCCTTGCCGCATGCCAGTGAGGCCAGCTTGACCTTAGGAAATGCCGGCCTGCGGATGCGTCTAAGACGTTAACTCATGTGAAGGTTTCCAAAAATAGGGAGACCTTGTTGGAGTCCACGTAGTAAGGTTTATAGTATTTCGGGTCTATATTGGGGTCCCCTGTTTCGGGAAACTACCGTGTAGCTGAAAGCCTTCCAGCTGGCAGGTCCAACCTGCAAAAGCCACGGTCAAATTCAGATGCAGATCCTTTGCTGCGATAAGATCTTGAAAGGCTAGTTGCTCGGCAGTACATGCTCACCAGGCTCACTTGTGAACACGGAGCAGTGGCAGCCTTGGACGTGTGTGAGATTTTGGAGCAATGCAATCAAGCTTGCCTGGTACATGGGTATGGGTATGCTGTGGTATGCTGGGTGCCACAGCACAGGCTACGCGGCTATGCAAACTCAAAATGGCACCAAGGCATGTTCGCTGCAGCCCGGCTGGCAGGCAGTTGACTGGCTGCCGCAATTTCTCCTGAAGACAGGAAACTCTGCTTGTCTCTCCGGCATCCCTAACTACCGCGAACGTGTCCGACATGCTCTTAGAAGCCGACAAGCTCCATAGAGCAACCTGGAACCCCCCTCTTGCCATCAAGGATCATGACTCCGTCCTTTCAGGATAGGATAGACACCTGTTAGGTGCAGTACCTGTACCTTGTGGTTGCCTGCCCCGAAGTATGCACCAAACCCAACTAAACAAAGCTTCGCCCAAAACCTCAAGACCCAAAGCAGAATCTGAATCGGCTGGGTCCTAGATGTGCGCGAAGCTTTCTGCAACCCAGGTTGGTAAGCGGGTCGTGTCGCGAAGCTGGTCCAGGTGAGAGCGGTTTGTGACACCACCTTGCTGAGACTTCTCAATGCTATGGTCCAAGTTGTGGTTCAGCTTCAGTTTTGCGACTTAATGCTACTTAGTTTATTAGCCTATACTTAGCACACGTTTCCGGGTCAACTTGCAATTGTGTGGAATCCATCACATCGGAGTCCCAAGACATCTCAAGACACTGAGTTTGAACTCTCTTCCAGGTTCCCAGGCTCTGGAAAGAAAGCCTCCCACACGCTACCCAAGTAATGGCCCCTTACGAACACAAACCCTAACATCATGAAATCAATTTTGAGCTTCGTCAGGAATTCTAATTCTCCGTTCGACTGGCCTGACGAACCCTAGCCCACACCCGGAACCCTACCAAGTGCAGCACCAAGGAACTCAAAACGAGCAAGGACCTCATGCCGCTTCTCACCGCCAGCTCGATGTCAGTGTTTAGCGTGTCGCCGACCTTCTTGCGCTGCAGTGCCCAAACTGTTAGGCCCTAACCTGCCTCATGTCGCAGAATTGGCCATCACAACAACCGCCCGGCAGATGCTGCATAAGTGACGACAACACCCTTGGAAGTTGCAAATTCAGTGCAGGCTCTGCAGCAAGGCGTTTCTGCATGCTGCTGGCACGCTAGACACGCAGAATTCGGTTTCGCTTTGTAGGTTTGACCCTCAACTAGAACCCTCCTGACAGGTTTCAACTGTCTTGGCTAGGCCTGTACGTGATGCACACCCGTGAAACCTCCAAGTATATGATCGGACCTCTTGGCGCCATGGCTTGCCAAGGTGCGATCACTGCCTTGTCCAGCTCAACACCTAGTTAGCGCTGTAGGCATGTCAAAACTTACAACTTCTTAGGTATACTTTCTCAGGGCCACCTCGTACCTCGGAAGTATACTAGTTTCGTCAGCAGGGAGGCCAGTGGGTTTCAGTTCCTTCAGATTTGACATCAAACGGGACCCGGAACAGTCAGCAATGTGTAGGCTTGCATGCAGTGTGTTCCCTCCTTGTGAGCCTCCAAGATGCATGTCATACGAGCTAGTTGGATTGCAACTCTCAAGTGAGTGATGCATTCCAGCAATTTGTGCGCTTCTGAAAAGTCCTTGTTGAAACAGCTGCCGCTAGCGTCGTTGTGTGCTATCTAGGTCATTATCTTCATTTCAGGTTGGCACAGTGTTGACGCACAAACCGTTGCTTCCTGGACTTGAGGTTCAATGGTCACATGGCATCGCTTTTCGCAATCCTGGTGGCTTGTCGTGTTGCAGGCTTTCTGAGCGATGTGTGCTTTCCAATGGAAGGTGTCTCTTTTCAGGGCTCCTCAGATACGGAGCTTCTTCTGCACCATTCGGTCGAAGCCCTGCGTAGCATGAACCCCGTTTTTTCCACTTAAACTTTTAGGACTGTGCTTCCGGGTCCATACATAGGATACCTGGGACGTAGGGGGTAGGTTGTGGGTGTCCCCGAACTTATAACTTCGTATACGATGCTTAAGAACTTAAAAGCCCTGCACCCTTGAGGGTTTATACCTTATGCAGCCCTAAACCCTTAAGGGAATAGATATTATTGCCCTAAACCCTTACTCCCTACAAACCAGCAGTAAGGCGAGGTTGGAGCAGTTGAAGCGCTGCTTCCAAGCGGCCGTAACCCTCCTCCTCGACCGGTCGGCGCAGGGCCTCGATCAGCACTTCCTGGGCTCCCAGGGATTTAGATACATAGGAGCTATAGTCTAAACTCCTCGTATCCCCCTCAATCACCCCCAATATACTCCCTGTATAAATCCCTTTAAGGCGTTTAGACTATAGCTCATGTTACATAAGGGACTAATCATAGGACTATTTAGGGATGATAAATATGTGTATATATATATATGATAACACCAATGATGGAAAATCAAATGGACAGGAAATGGAAAAGTAAACGGAAACTTGTGCAACATGGTGGTTAATAGGATTTTTGGTTCCCCAACATTAGGGGCACCTTCGGGTGCCCCTGCATTGGGGTCCCCCTCTCTATGGAAACTACCATCTAGTCTTCATGTAGGTAGCTCCTCCCAATATTGAACACCTTACCGCGTACGCTAAAAGTAAGAATAGGAATCTGTAAGACCCTTCGTCGACGTGACAAACCCTAAATCCTTAAACCCTTTACAGAATCACATGACCTCCTTGCACCGCCACTACCGCCACCACCGCCACCAGTTCTGCGATGATGCTTAGTACTGCTATCGATGCTCATCCTACTGCGACTGTTGTTACTAATCCCACCACCATACCTCTTAGCCAAGGAAGGACACAAGGATGGATACTGTGGAGGGTGTCCAATAGCTGCACACCAACCTCCAACTACATTTCAGAGGGAGGTGACTCTGAACTATGTCATTGACTCGTCTGGTCACGGCACATTACGGCTGTCTCAGAAAAATCTGACAACAAGGTTGCAGTGACCCTAATAGCTTGATTCGAACGATGTGCAAATAGCAAGGGCCCCTCCAAAACCCTATATTTTGCAGAGCCATTTCTGGCCAAATGAAGTGGATGTCCCCGACAGCGTCTCTCTGCTTGAAGAGTCTCGGAGGGCTTTCCGACGTCGATAGCCTGCGACAGGTTCAGGGATGTAACAGACAATATAACATCATACGAGCCAAATGCACAGCTGCATACAGTGAATGCCCGCACGATGAGCACACAACTGTAATGACTGGAGTCCAGGCGGCATGATTGGCAGGCATGGCAACACAACTCAATCTCGGGCTCCGTCGCACTTCTACATGCCATGTTTGGGTTCCGGTATAGAATTACACACAAGATTTTATTTGAAATGCCGAAGCTGTCATTACTGAAATGCCTCATGATCACTAATAAGTGCCAACTCAAAGGCAGTCACAATCAAAGCAGCATTAATCAGAACCATAGCCAATGAGAGTCCTATCAACACGCACTGAGAATGACCAAGATCTCTAAGCCCACACGCTTCCCAGCTGGAAGCCAAAAGCCTGGATGTCAGCACCAACAGAGCTGCAGATCATCTGGCACATGGTCCCATTCCCCACCTGGCTTTTACTGGAAGGACACCATTCGGCATATGCAGAAACCGTCAATGAAAAGCTGTGATACATGTGGGCCTGAAATTCCATTCCTATCCGGCATGTTCAGGCATCTTCAGCTGAACATCGGTACAGGTCCTCGGCCTACGGATTGAATCCTGCGGGAGTTTTTGCGGTGAACCTCAAAACGAGAAGGTGTTTCTAGTCTGCCAGGAATTATACCCACAACGCCCCCTCAAATCATCCACTTCTTTCACTCCCTGTGAAAAAGCAAGTGATACCCTCCCCCTAGCATTCAACCCTCCCTTCTCCAAATATTAAACACTGCCACTGTCTGTTATATTCTAATATATAGGGAGTATTTAATGGGGGGGTGTCAATGTTAGGGGAAGGGATTATATTGAAGCCCTCCTCCTTGGATCTGATGATGCGCTATCGTCTAAACTCTTGGTATCCCCTTTAATTACCCCTGTAATCCCCTATATAGCCGATAACCCCCTTAAAGGAGCTTAGACCCTTTTTGTACAGGGACGCTGCTCGTCTGCCAAGCTATAAACCCTAAATCCTAAACCCTGGATAATCAATCCCCTGGATAATCAATCCCCTTATCTAAACCCGAATCCCCTTTCAGGAACTGATGCTTACAAAGACGCCGCAGGAATACTCCGGTTGCACCAGTTGCGCCCAGGCAGGAAATCTTCTGAGGTAACGCCCAGTACCTTGCACAGAAATCGTGGTTTCATGAAAACAGGGGTAGCTATAGAGTTTAGGGTTTAGGGTTTCCTGAAATTACTGTAGGGTACCTTCAACGGGGGATATAGGGGTTATATAGGACTATGTAGGGTTTAGGGATGTTTAGGGATTACAGTTCAAGGTTTGGGGTCCCCACAATAAAGACTGCAGTATTTCGGAGTCTATATTATTGGCCCCCGTTTTATGAAAACTACCAAAGGGGAGGTCCCGCATCAAGGTTTGAAAGCGTGTAATGGATAATGATCTTGAAGGAAATGGTAACATTAAATTAGTGGGCTAGACCTAGACGGGTCACTTCATGCTTGGGGACATGGCAGCTGGCTGGCATACGAACCAATTAGGATTGAAGCCGCTCTAAACTCAAGTCATTCTGACTCTTGAAGTTGCTTGAGTGCCTGCATCGGAGCTAACCATTGCTAACAAGACTACCGCGCAGCCACGGGTCTAAAAAATGTGCAGAGCACCCAATTTCGAGACTGTAGTTGAAGAAGCCCGCACCCGCGCGAAGCCGTGAATGCATCGCATTCGCCTCGACCCTCGAATAGCCCTATGTGCTGAGATGATAGCCCTCAGCAGCACAGAGTTAAGCACCCACCCTGTCAAAATTACCACTTGAACAGGTCTACCCCGACAGTGCTTGGGAGAAAGGACATCATGCTCAGTCAAGCAGCTCCTGCGTGGTCAGAGGAGCACTGCCTTGCGCGGTCTGTTATTCTCTAATCTTCTCACGCTGTTCGTTCTAGCCGCTATAGCCTCCAGAGTCTCTAGAATACGAGAAGTGGATGGTCACTTCTGTTCGGGAACCTGTCAATGTTCGGCCCTGCTTGGCCTTTGCGTGGCTGATGGCTGGGTGCATGTAAGCCAAACTTCTGCAAGCAAACGGGCACTACCCGCTCCATTTCCAGAAATTTGTCAAAGCTAAACAGCTCTGCATGGGCTGCTTACCGATGCCAGTTCCAAATGGAATCGGCCCTGACGGTATACACTACACGAAGCACGCCAACATGTTGTCGCTCAGCGGCACAATCTGCATGACGTTCTGCCCTTCTTCTGCCTCAGAAGCAAGACAAAAACACACATCAAAAGGGTCTGTAGTAGTTTCCATCTTCTTTTCCATTATCCCTATATATCCCCTTTATTACCCCTGTATGATATGGGTTTCTGTAGCTGGGCAATGATCGGCCAGCATGTGCTGGTGGGCTTCTAGGCACTGAGTCAGGATGAGCAAAAGATCTGATCGAGTTGCGGCATGCACGCTTTGCAGGCCGGGGCTTATGCTGAATAATGGAAGAGAACATGGAAACTACTATAGTATATTGGGGTTATATAATATAAGGGTAATGGAAAAGAAAATAGAAATTATAGCATATTGGGGTATGGCGTTGCATTGTGCATGGATACTGTGCTTTCAGAGGTCGAACTTGCGCAGGGGAGCCATAGGCAAAGCAGCCCCAGTGGGTGATGGTTAGCCAAGCGCCGTGCATCCCTTAAGGATCCCAAATTGAGAAAACACTCATGGGAAGTGTTTGAAATTAGGGCCGAGCTACGCACTCGCGGCTAAACTTCAGGAACGCGGCGGCGACTGCCACTTTGAGAGCTGTCAGTTGCTGGTCCCAGCCCACCTCAACAGCATTGCTCAAACCTACCTCCTTGCTTCCCCAACAGTAGGAGCATATGCCATGTTCATGGTGCGGAGCAGTTCGAGCCTTGTTCCACGTTCGACCCGCATGGACTCACTTGAGGCCATCTTCTCAATGACTTCAAGTTGGCTACCAAGGGCTCTGTTGGTGGTGCTGTTTGTTTGTCTTTTTCGGTGGCTTTCCAAGCATTGACCACAGGCTCCCTGAGCAAGCGACCATAAGTCCTATAACAGATGCTTCAAATCATTTTGCTCGCCCCATTGGAGAAAACATCGCACGAGTTGCCATCTGTCCTATTAGCTTGGTCAAGTGCTGCTGAGGTACGACGATCGCATCCACATCTTTAGAGCGATGGACCTCGTTGCGCTAATCCCTCTACAGTATCAAGAGACGACTGCAAAAATGTCAACCACTACAGCCAGAAAAGTAAATTCTGTGCGCGCAAAATGCATTCAGGCTTTGAGAATTGTGCGTTTGACAGATTAAGTGTCAAGCGCAGCTGCAGGAATACTGTTGGTCCAATGACAACCACAAGAATGCATAAGCGCAGTCTGCATCCACGGGACAAGTTCAGTCACGTTGTCCTTGGTCACCTGACTTGTCAAACCAGCAGAAGCTCGAAAGAGCAAATCAAAAGCACGTTTGCGTGTCGACTATGACAATACTTACATTCCTGGTTTTCTTATAGAAGGTTAAGTAAATTATGATGGGATGTAATTTAATTGTAAGGCTATGTTATGAAGGTCTAACAAGGTCTGAGAGCTATATATGTAGGTATAAGAGTTAGAAATTTTAAAGTATGTTAATTTAAAAGAGCTTTTATTGGCTAAGTAACATAATTATCTTAAGTCTCTGTAACTTTTAGGCTTGTGTATGGGAAGCAAAGCAACATGTCCCAAATGCAAGAATTTTCTTTTCCCAAGAGCAATGAAGCATTGCATCCAGGAGGAAGCAGGAA